GAGAGGAGGCCCTGGGGCGCGGGCAAGCCAGGGCGTGGCGCGGCCCCAGATGCCCCGGCCCCTCAGGGCTGCAGGCCCAGGCTTCCCTGTGGAGGGCAGCGTTCCCACCACTGCTGGGTTTGCAGCCTGCCAGGGCGTGGACCAAGGCTGAGGGCCCCTCGTGGCCCTGTCCCCAGGGGCGGGTGGCAGGGATGGGCAGCACTTGGTAGCAGGTTAATGGCCCTTCTGGGTCCCAAGGTGGACGGACACTGCCCACCACGTGGCGCTTGTGCGGCTCCAGGCCCTGTCGTGGTGTCAGAGCGGAGGCCACACCAGGTTGCGGTTTTCTGGCTGGGGACATGAAGGCTGGAAGCCCAAGGTGGAGGCCTGGCCATGCAGGCCTCCTGCTGCCTGTGAGTGGCGGGATGTACCCGACCGGTGGTGGGAGGGAAAAGGGCCGGACGCCCCCTGCACAGTGGCACCCAGGCTCCACTGCCCCTCGCCGCCTCTGCCTCCTCCCCACCCTGCAGGAGGACCGGATGTCCGCACAGGGACGCAGTCAGACCAGGCGCACCTGACTCAGCCATCACCTCCGTCCGCACAGCCGGCGACCTGGCCCGGTCCAGGGCCTCGGAAGGCTGTTCTAGGCCTGACCCGGAGTAGGCACTGTTGACCTTCTCATGTCATTTATTTTAGTTTCTTATTTTTAAATGGACACAAAATTGTACATATTTGTGGGGTACAGTGTGCTGTGTTGATACATGTTTACATTGTATAATATTTAAATCTGGGGAAACATAGCTATTTCAAATACTGATCTCTCCTTTGAGGTAAAAACATTCAAAATTCTGTCCTGGCTTTGAATCAACGGTGCACGGCCTCTGGGAAGTCACAGCGCCCCGCTCCCTCCTCCCATCTACTAGCGGCCCCATGGGCTGCCTCCCCTGCGAGGACCACTGTTCACTCTCGATTTTTACGGTGACTGTTTTAGGTTCCACGTATGGGTGAGATCACGTGGTACTTGTCTTTCTGTCTGGCTGATCTGGCTCAGCCTGACGACCTCCAGTCCATGCTGCTCCCTCTCCCGTGGTCGGAAGGTGCCCACTGCGAGCCCCACGTCCCCTCCGCTTGTCAGCCAGGCGGCACAGGTGATTGCCTCTGTCCTTGCGACTGGGGCAGCAGGAACGTGGCACGCAGATGTCTCCCCGAATGCTGATGCCGCTTCCCTTGGGCACACACCCAGGATAGGGTCATGGTCTACTATCCGGGTTTTCGTGGGGCTCCCGTATTGTTCTGTAGAGCGGCTGCCCTGATTTCCATTCCCACCAGCAGTGGCAAAGCCTCCCATTCCTGCGTCTCTGGGGGGAGGCTGTGTTTGCGTTCTGCCAGAGCCCAGCATGTGTGCCTCCTCTCCCCGCCCTGGCTGAGGGGAGACGTGCCACCCTCAACAGTCCACTCCATCCTGAAAGCTATAGGCTCGGTGGGCCTGGAAATCCTTAGGAGCCAAGAAGAAATGCTTCCTGTTGAATTAGAGGCTCAGATGGCCCGGGGCCCCCTGGGGTCCTTACATCGAGCCTGCAGGCAGGCACAGGGCTCACTGTACTGCCGGGGTGACTTGTGAGCGCCGCGGGGTGACACAACTATTGCGACGCCACAGTGGGGGCAGCGATGAAGCCTGAACCCAGGGAGTACCTGCAGCCTGTGGTACCCCGATGACTCTTGTTCGCATTCGCTCAGGCCAGGGTGGGAGCAGGATTCAGATTCCTCTGCACCTCCCTGAGACGCTGAGCTTCCGTCAGAGCAGTGTGGGTCACACTGCCCGACACCTGTTCCCGCGGGGCTCTAACGTGCTTCCGGGGCAGCCTTCAGGCCGCTTCTCCTCCTCTGGGAGCGGGGAGACTGTGGCCACCCCGTAGAGAGCACCATGAACTCGGACCCTCTGTGAGGGACGTGGGAGGGAAAGGGGCCACATACCCGCTCCAGGGTGGCACCCCAGGCCCGACTGCCTCTTGCCTTACTCTGCCTCCTCTCGGGAGAGATGCCCGCAGCTCAGCGACCGCCCAGGCGGGGTGCGGGAGGCACGGCTGGCTTGGTTCCACACTGGCTGTCTCCGTCACCTCACGTGGCCACGCTGTGACGTGAGTTTCAGGGAGCGGACACGACATTGCCCCGACAGCACGGTGGCCGACATCCCTGACCACCTTCCTCCCCATCTGGGCACACTCTGTAGACGGTGGGGCCGGGCTGGGCCAGGCCGACCCTGCCCTTCAGTTTTCCGGTCTGGGCCCCGCTTGGCCCGGCAGGGGGAGGCGCCCCTCTCCCAGTGGGCCGCGGCGGGGCAGAGGACTCCCCCCCCCGTTTGGGTGCCACCCCAGCCCTTCCCCAAGTCCCACCTCCCCCCGTGGTCACAGCTGCACACTGACTGTCCTCTGACAAGTGACCTCCCCGGCCGCTGCTTCCTTTAACCTGGGCCGGCCTCTGTGATGTCCTCCCATTAAATGCTCTCCAGCCGGCTTTCCTGTAAGGACGGGGCCAGGGAGAGCCCTGCTGGGAGGGGCCTTAGCCAGCGACCGTAGGGGCAGCAGGTGCAGGCCGGGAGCTGGGGGGCAATCGGCCAGCCCCCTGGACAGCGCCATCTCTGGGCTACGGCTGGGCAGAGTGGCTGGCATGTGACTGTGCTCCAGGGACTCAGTGTGGGCCTCTCTGCGACAGAGCCCCCAGGGCACCGCAGGTAGCTGTTGTCTCGGGGTGGGATGGGTCCTCAACAGCTCTGTCACTCCACGGACAGGTGGGCTTTGTGCTCCTCCCCACTGGGCGTCTGAAAGCAGAACCAGTCCCTTTGGGATGGAGTGAGTCTCCGGGGTCCGGGACAAGCAAAGAAACTGCCGAAGGCACCCGGATCCCCGAGACCACTGCGTCCCTCCCTTAGCAGCAGACAGCACCTAGGACTCAGCAATTCCGCTTGTCTCTCCCTCCTGGGCAGGGCGTGAGGGGGGCGGCCTCAGGCAGGTGTGTGCTGGCAAAGGAGGAGGAAGGAGAGCAGGGGCGGTGCCCTCCCTCCCATGCAGGCCCTCGGACGCCAGCTGTGTCTCATGTGAGGGGTACAAGAAGGAAAACCAAGAGTTTAGTGAGAGGGCTCTGCAGGGCTGTGTGCACGTCGGGAGCCACATACTGGTCCCAGGAGAATGCCACCCTCTTTCCCCCAAAATAAGACCTAGCCAGAACACATACCAGCCTTGAAAGCCAGAGAGCAGAAAGGCCAGCCCCGTCAGCCCTGCCCGCCCTTCCCACCCTCGCTGTCCTGCTTGGTGGCCGTAAGGGAGGGAAGGCCGGCATAAGCTGATTGGGGCTGGCATTTCTGGTCTCTATTTTTTGAGGCTGATTATTTCCCAGCTAGGTCTTATTTTCGGGGAAACACAGTACGTGTGAAGCCTCAGCAGCAGTGTGGAAACAAGCTGTGCTGTGTGTGATATCAGGAGGGTCCGATGGGAAGTTGTGCGGCTGACGGCATCTGAGAAATCAGCCTGCGTGTGGACCAGGTCAGACGGGAAGACATGCACAAGGGGAAAATCACTGCTGAGCTGCAGGCTGGGCTTGGGAGAGATTCTGAAATTTTCCACCTGTTCTGAGGTGTTACTGCTCCCTCTCGCCACCGGAGGAGGAGGCAAAAGATGGGTCGGGAAACATTAGTAAACCTGGGTGTGAAATTAGTTGGGTCGGAGGGAGCCCACTGTGAGTGTGCTTGAGACTGGCGATCTGGTCCTGTAGGCCAGGGTGGGCAGGATTCTAGGTTCTGCAAGTTCCCACGGTCACAGAGGGTGGCTCTCCCCCAGGGCACCCTGCTCGCACGCCAGGGCTCTAAAGAGCAGGCACAAGCTGACTGGGAGTGGCTGTGACCCGCATGTGGCCTGTGCCAGGCGCCCGGCATCTCTGAGGTAGGTTCCGAGGGCAGCTGCCGGGCTGCAGGTGATGCCCAGGGCTTTGCTTCAGACCCCACCCTGCCGTGGGTCGTGGCCCCTGTCTCTGCCTCTGCCCCTCTGTGTGCGCACGGTGGGGAGGCAACGGCCAGGAGCTGGGATCTGCCTGCTTATCAGTGGCCTGGTCGGTTCCTGGGTCACCTGGAGGCGACAGTGCTTTGGAAACCCGTTTCCTGGGTGGCCTGCGGGACTGGGGACTGTGGCAGCGGTGCAGGTGATGCAGAGAAGGCCAGGGTACCTACTTCTCCAGATGGGACGTGGGCCTGGGAAGATGCGTGTGGAGGGCGGCTCTGGCGGTCTGCTCCAGCACTCGGTGTGACATGAGCTGGGGCACCGTGTCCTTCGGGGCCAGGCGCGACGCTCTGTGAGGACCCTCTGACCAAGGGTCCCGCTGGGCTCTGGCTCCGCAGGGAGAGGGGACACGGCCGTAGGTCCTTCCTCCCTGCTTTCCTGCAGGCAGAGGCCTGCGGGACCCTTGCACCTGCCGGCGACGGCCTCATCTCATCCCACAGCCCGTGAGGTAGATGCTCCTCCCCCTGTCACAGGAAGCCGACCAACTGAAGACAGAGGGGCTGGGCATGGGAGCAGGGTTCTGGGTGCTGGTCCAGAAGTGCTGCAGGGGGGGGCGGTGGGGGAAGAGGATGAGGAGGACTTGCTCCTGGCCCTATGTGGTCAACATTTGAAGCTCTCCATCTCCTGCACTTTCAGTCGTGTGAGGAAAATGCTCCCCAAACCCCCAAGACAAAAACGCGGTGAGGCTTTCCCTCCCCACCCTGCAGTGAGGAGGCAGCAGCACCGGGAGCAAGGCGGGCTTCAGGGCCGGCCACACTCCTCCAGGGCCGGGACTGACAGCCCAGGCCTCACCTCGCACCTTGCACCCCAGGGTTTCGGGGCGGAGGGTTGTGTGTGGGGAGAAGCTGAGTGTACTTGGGAGGCCCAGGAGCACAGTCCAGCGGTCTGAGTGCCACGCACACCATCCAAATTCGGCTAAAAATACATGTCAAAAAGGCTGGAAGAAATATACAACTGGTGGAGTCTGGGAGGTGGGATAGTAAGAGCTATTTTCCTCCTATTTATCTGCATTTTCCCAGGCATCTAAAATGCACATTTCACTTATGACAGGAAAATATATGCGCTCTATGTCTTGGTTTTAAAAAATACGGCTTCAAAGAAGCCTGTGTGCCTCTTGGTTTCCGGGGGCGCCCTGGACCTGTCCCTGGGGGTGCCGTGTGGCCACAGGCGGTGTGTGCAGACCCGTGTGCGGTGCTGCATCTAAGGACAGAGTTCTTGGAAACCAGACCGCTGCTGCGTGAGGGGCGCCGGTCCGGAGTCGGCTCCCAAAGGCACACGGGAGCGGGCACAGGGCCCACCTGCCAGGGTCCCAGGGGTGCCTCGTCCCCGGCCCACACCCCAGCACAAGGGCACCACGCCTGAGACGGCCGGCGGGGCTGAGGTGAGCCTGCACCATCCCGGGCATGGTGGGCTGCGAGCCGGAGACCGGGTGTGGGTGTGCCAGGCCCTTGGCCCCGCCCGCCACCTCGCAGCCTCAGTCGTCCAGGTGCTGCTCCTCCCAGGTGGACGTGGGGATGGCGCTGTAGGGGTCCATGATGACCTTGGCGCAGCGGATGATCATCACGACCAGGAAGAGGCAGAGGAAGACGAAGCAGGCCAGCGTCAGGCCCTTGTCCACGTCGACGTACGCGGGCTCAGGCGTGGGCTCCTCCATCGTGCAGCGGCAGCCGTGGGCTTCTCGGGCTCGGGCTCGGGCTGGCCGGGTACCATCTTCCACGCCCGCGGGAGCCGCAGTGGCAGGAGGCGTCACGGCCGCTGGTCCACTCCCTGGAGTGACAGCTTCCACTCAGGCCACCAGGCAGGGAGCAGGGGCTTCCCTCCTGGGACCCACAGGCACTGCCCACAGCCTGGGTTCACAGGGGAGCGGGATGCATGTGGGGGCACAACGGGGAGCCCAGGAGTGTGGCCTGGGGTGCCGCCTTGAGGAGGAGGCTGAGGCCATGCCGTCTGCTCAGCTGGGCTTTCCAGTCCACCCCTTTGTAGGTGGATCTGAGTGCTGAGCCAGCATGAGGTGGACGGAAGGGAGGCCACTGTCCAGAAGGGCTGGGGGCCGAGTCGCTGCAGCCCCTTCCCTCCTAGCCTCGCTGCGGGGGTGAGGGGAGGCTGGGTGGGGACCGTCGGCAGCCCCACCCTGCCCTCGGTCACCTGCTGTCACTCACTGGCTGTCGTTCATCCTGGGGCACTCAGTGACCCGGCTCCCAGGGGAGGGGGTTATCTGTCCTGCCAGCCAAGATCCAGCACAGCCACAGGTCCCTGGGGACCGCAGCCTCGGAGGTCAGCTCCCTGGGGCCTGGCCCGGCTCCCGGGGGAGCCCCCACACGGCCACCCCACCCTCACAGAGACTGTCCTGTGCTGTGTGTCCACGCAGTTTACTGTGAAACCTCACGACAGCCGGGAAGCAACAGCCAGGCATCCCTAATGTGGAAACTGAGTCCCAGAGAGGGACAGGACTAGCCCAGATCCCAAGCCCCAGGTCTCTAGGGGAAGGCAAAATGGGGACCCCCCCCCGCCCCAAGCTTTGTGAGAGTCTCCGCATAGGTCCTGGGCCAGCTGAGCCTGGCACACTGCGACCACAGACAACTGCGTGCCCTCTCAGACTGCTCCCAGGGACACTGACCTGCGGGCTGGTCACCACCTCATAAGGACCCTGGCTCGGGCGGCTCTGGCAGGGAGGGAAGGTGTCCAGACATCACAGCCGGGAGCGGTGGATGCGGTGTGGCCGTCCCACGGGGCGCAGCGGGCCGGCAGGGCTGAAACGGAAGGATCTGTTACTTCCTGCGATTCTGGCTGTGCCCTGCGCGGCCGGAAGGGCAGCCCGGCAGCTGCTCCCAGGGTGGGTGGGGGCGGCTCCCTCTGTCACCCATGCCGGCTTTTATTTCCTTCTCTTTTAGCATGTAAAGAGAGTGTAGCAGGATACAGCACAACATTCCCTCTCCGGCTCTCTGAGTATGGTGTGAGGTACACCCTGAGCACCGTGTGGCCACCCCGTCCCCGGGACCTCTCCTCGGCACACACCGAAACTCTGTTCGGTTAATCGGTAAGTTTCCACTCTCCCCACCCCCAGCCCTTGGCAACCACCATGCTGCTTCCCATCCATGTGAACTCGACCACCCTGGGCCCCGGTACGTTACGGGTTGTATCTAGAGTTCCCCCCAAGGCCTCAGGTGCTCACAGGTGGGGATTTGGGGAGCTGCCTGGATCTGGAGTTGTGATGCGGGGACTAAGGGTGGTGGGGTGCTGAGTTAGTCCGCTGACTGAGTTAGCACAGTTCTGGGTGTGGATGCTGGGAGCCCCACCCTGGGCGTGGGGGCACCAGGTTTGGAGCCTGAGGCCTGGGTGGAGAGAAGGCAGCGTGCTGCCCACTGCTTGCCTCCTCCTTTGCCATGAGCTGTTCTCCGCCAGGGCTGCCTGCCTTGGAGCCAGCCAACGGCGGGCTGAAACCTCTGAGGCTGTGAGCTGGATAAACCCTTCCTCCCTTAACTTCAGTGTCCGGTGTTTTGTGTCGGCAGCGAGAAAAGTAACTGAGACTTTTGCCAGCGGAGACATTCGCCACCGGCCCTTTTGTGTCGGCTTGTGTACAGGACGGTTCGACAGGAGAACGGCGTCCGTTTAACTGTTCATTTGGACGGAGCCTCCGCGGCTGAGGATAACGCACTTTAATCCTGACGGTTAGTGTTCTTAGAAGTTGCACCCACCCGAGGACGCTTCTGTCCACGGGCAAAGGGTGAGAGGGGCTGCTAACCTCCAGCCTTGAGAGCTCCTATCCGCCTTTTTTACTGCTGCCGATTTGGGGGAAAATGTTTCCTAGAGGCTTTTTTCCTTCACATTTTATTTAAACAGTGCCCAACGTACAGAAAAGCTGAAGAATGTTCCAGACAGCAGACACACATATGTCCATCACTGAGACTGACAACTGTTAATGGTTTGCTACCTTTCATTTATTCATACTTACCCACCTATCACCGTTATTTCCCCCGCCCCGGTACTGGGTATTGAACCTAGAACCTCCACATTGAGCTACACCCCAGCCCTTTATTTATTTATTGTTTCTGTTTTACTCTGAGATAGGATCTCAGTAAGTTCCTAAATTACCCAACCTGGGTTTGAACTTTAGGTCCTCCTGCCTCAGCCTCCCAGAGTTCTGGGATTACAGGTGTGCTCCACCATACCTGGCTTTCTACTTTTTTTGTCTTTTTGAGATGGGGTTTTCATTACACAGTTCAGGCTGGTTTGAAAGCACTTTGTAGCCCAGGCTGGCCTTGAACGCACAATGATCCTCCTGCCTCAGCCTCGCGAGCGATGGGATTATAGGAGTGCACCACCAGGCCTGCCTGGCTTATTTTTTTAAAATACATTTCAAAGCCAGACACATGTCCATACACTTCAAAGCACTTAAGTATGTATCCTGTTAGCTAGAATTCAGTATTTAAATTCTTTAAAATTTACATACAGTGAAATGTATAAATATTTTGTATTATTTTTGAGATTTGACAAATCCATATGCCCTAGTAACTCCTGGGTTAGTTTTAATTTTCATTTCTTATATGGAATGAGGTCACATGCCTTTCATAAGTTTATAATCCATTTGTATTTCTTGTTATGTGAACTCCATTAATATCCTTTATCCATGTTTTCTACAGGACTTTTTTGGTCTCTCTCTCTTTTTTGACCTTGGAGGCAGAGGATTTAGATAAACGTATTTATTTTATTTGCTTGTTTAATATTATTTTATTTCACTTGTATTTTTTCCTTTATTCTGACTTGTAACTCTCTTTTTCTCTTCCACCACCTGATTTTGGTCACCAGCATGAATTTTCTCTCTCTTTTTTACATTCACCTGATACATAAAAATATAACTTGTACATGTTAATGGAGTGCTGTGTACTGTTTAGATACGTGTATACATGCGTAATACTTCAGTCAGGCAAACATCTATTTCCTCAAACACCATTTTTTTATTGTGAGAAATCTCAAAATCCTTCCCTCTTCTTCCTGAGGCAGCCGTGCGTTGTGTCTGTGGCTGCCCTGCTGGGCAGTAGCCCACGGGGCTTCCTGCTCCTGCCTGACTGTACCTTGGCACCCACGATGGCCCTTCCCTGCCCTCCGCAGGATGAGCTGTTAACTGTCTGCCTTTGCTCTTTAAAATGTGCTTCCGGTCCTGTAATTTGAACTGCCCACCTCACGTGTCTTCTTATTCCCAGGTGTTAGGCACTGAGTCCCCTCCTTTCCCTGCCGTCAGTTCTGTTGGGGCTGCAGGGCAGCGTACATGACATGCAAGTCCTGTTGCTACTCTGAGCCCACCTTAGTCTCTTCTCAGTTTTAGGGTTAAGTCTCTTTAAGGCCACCCAGGGTCTTTGGGCTGAAGTAGTTCCTGTCATCTGCCTGTGGCTATAGATTGTATGTAGCATTGTATGTAGAAGGTCTTAACTGTTGACTCCTTTGAAAAATAATGTACATTTTTCTCTGCCTCAGTGGGTTTCTCTTTGTCTTTGGTTTTTAAAAGTTTGACCACGGCCAGGCATGGTGGTGCACACCTGTAATCCCAGCACTCAGGAGGCTGAGGCAGGAGGAGCCTTACGAGTTCGAGACCAGCCTGGGCTGCAAAGTGAGCTCAAGGCCAGCCTGAACTGCATAGCGAAACCCTGTCTCAAAAAAAAAAAAAAAAAAAGTTTGACCATGGATGCAGAGAGGACCTCTGCTGTCTCATGTGACATCTCACTGGCTTTAGGAAATCCTTGATGGTCTTGAGACACTCATTTGTCCTCTTACCTCCCTTCCCTTTCTGGTACCTGAGTACACTTTGACATTTCCACTACGTCTTGTTTTATTATGCGTTCTTTCCGCATTTTTCCCTTTTTATGCTGTGGCCTGAGTATTTTCTGCTGAACTAACTTCCAGTTCATTAATCTCTTCTGTTGTGGCTGCCTGTCTACTAAACTGTCATTACAGCCACACTTTTCTGTTTTAGAATTTCTAATCGATCCTTTAGAACAATGTCAACTCTCCACTGACTGTTCGCACTGGGTGTTTTGTTCTCTTGAGCAGCTGACCATGTCTTCAGAGTCCACCTTGGATAACTGCAGTACCAGGCTCATCTGCGGTCCGCCTATACCGTTTACTTTTCCTTTCGGCTGTTTCTTGGTGCGGCTGGTGACAGCTCCGGCGGGTTACTGAACCCGCTGCTCTGGATGGTGCGCGCCGCTTGCTCCGGGAGCGGGCTGGGGCCAGGCACAGCACCCTAACCCCGGGCGGGAGAGCCAGCTGGAGCTGGGGCTCACCGCTCAGGAGCTGGTGTCTCCTCAGGTCTGACCGCAGCTCTAGGGTGTTGCTGTCTGGGTTCCAACCTGAGGACCGGGGGTTTCCTGGGCCTGTCCTTCCCAGCGTGTCTTGAACTCTTCTCCTCAGTGCCTAGGGACAGCAGAAAGCGCTGCGGGGCAGCTCGGGGTCATTCAGCCACCGGTGTTCGACTGTGCGCTGTGGACGCGAATGCAGGAGGCCTGGGGATTTCAGTCGTTCGCTGACCTCCGGGGACGGCATGGCCAGTGCGGGCAATGACCACACATACATTTTTCAGTGTTCTGCTATGCCCTTGCTCTAGGATTTTAAAAATTTTATTTTTAATTGACATGATAATGGTCCGTGTGGTACATTTTGATACATGTATATAATTTGTAATGATAAAACCAAAGTATTTAGTTTATCTGTCATCTCAAACATCCATCATTTCTTTGTGTTGGGAGCATTCAAAATCATTTATTTTAGCTGTGTGGAAATATGCAGTAAGTATCATCAAGTACAAGCGACCCACTGCACTGTGACACTGAACTTACTGCTCTGATTTAACTCTGTCCTTGATAACCAACCTTGCTCCTCCCCTAGCCCGGGACCCTTCCTACATCGGGAAATGACTCTGCTTTCTTCTTCTGCGACAGCAGTGTATTTACCCTCTGCGTATGAGTGAGAACATGAGGCCTTCGTCTTCCTGTGCCTGGCTTACTTCATTTAACATAGCCCCCTTCAGGCTCAGCCATGCTACCGTGAGGGACAGGATTTCTCTCCGTTTTAAGGCTGAATCGTTGTCTATTGTGTATATACCATACTCCTTGTTCATCTGTGAACACCCGAAGGGATTCCTCTGGGATTCTGAAAGGTGTCCATCGCAGCATGCTTGTAACAGTGAAAATCTGGGGACAATGGGATAGTTAGACAGAGAAGGTGTTTCTGTGTCGAGGAATCCTCCAAGGCAATTAAAGAGAAACACCCGGGGGACAGGAGGTGCTTGAAGTGAAAAAAAGTAAGCCGAGGAATGACACACAGAGGGACCTGTCGCGTATGTAAAGGGAAAAGGAGCTGCACACTCTTGCATGTGCATGTGTGTGTTCCAGGCAGGAGGCCTGTGCTCTGCCCTCTGCTGCATCAAGACCTGCTGCTGCTTTGATTGCTTCACCAGCTGAGAAGTAAGACCCAGAGAGATGCAGACCTAATGGAACAAGCACCGTGCCCCCGGCGCAGCTCGCCATGGCGGTGGCCGTGCTAGTTGTCTCTTCCTTCTAAGCAGTAGCTCCTCGTTTGACAGCTCCCGCCTTCATTCAGCGCCTGCCCCTGCGCAGCTATGCGTTTCCTACCGTGGATGCCTGGAACCTCCAGGGTTCCTCGCACTGGACTTTTCTTTTTCCCACTTATTTTAATAAAAATAGTCTGAAGAACTCTGCCCCTGAAATGAATTCTACGTGTATTTCATGTGTTACCTTACTAAATAAAAACTCAATTAAGGAGGGGCTGGGGATTTAGCTCAGCGGCACAGCACCTGCCTGGCAAGCACAAGGTCGTGAGTTCGATTCCTGGTACCGGAAAAAAATAAAAAATAAAAAAATCAGTTGAGATAAGACTGCACTAGACTATGTGTTTTCTGCACATTTATTCAAAATTGTTACTATTATTTTCTTATTTCACTGAAGACACCATAAACTGGGGCCCAAAAGTATAAGTAATGTGGTTTGGAGAGAAATAGACATAGTTAGAACATTCTACTTAAAAGACAAATTATTTTCCTATATAGTAAATAGTAAGAAAAATATTATACATTGTGTCTCCACTTAATAAGTGGAAGGGTGTGTTTTCAAGTGTGGTTAACAAGGGAGTGCCTCCTTATCCAAGTCAAATCACAAAAAGCAACTGTCCACAAAAGAATTTCAATAGCCTCTGTTAAAGACAATAAGAGTCAAGTGCTACATGGAGATGTAACTACAAAAGAGGAATTAAAATTAGCTTCCAGACAATCATGAAACGGCTAATTTATCCAGGCTGGCAATGTAAGCAGAATGCGCGGTTGAAAAGGGATCAGACCCACTCCTGCATACGTGGGAAGAAGGTTGATGAGCTACTCGAAGCCTTCGAATTCAGACTGCCCAGTCTTCGTCACAGTGTCGTCACCACCTGGAGTGAGCACAGGCCCATTAGCACACAGAATCACAAGTCATCCAAACCAGGTTCTCCAGAATTAACTGGTTTCAAGCGGGGCAACGCTGGCAAAGCTGGGGAAGTAAGTGGGACCTATCAATTGTCCCGGGGGAAAGCCAGACCCCAGGAGAGGTGACATAAGAGGCAGCGGGGCCCCACCTGTCCTCCTGTCCTCCTGTTACTCTGTATCCTCTCTGTGTTTGGCCTGCTTTGCTCTGCAGAGCCAGCTCTTCCCTTGCTCCTTCATCCTTCATTTTCAAATAAACTTGTGGCGCCGGTTGGCTTGCCCTGTCCAGTCCTTTGCGGAAGACGAGAGCGCCCTGGAACACCTGGTTTGGCGAGCCACTCTTCAGGAACTCCCCGACAGCGCTGCGGCAGAGCCATCCAGGGGTCGCATGTTGGCGTGGCCAGCCAAAAACCAGCAACAACATTTTGGTGGCCAGCCGTGAGAGCGCAGCTCCTGTCGGCACAAGCCGTCCTTTTCCCTCTCCCCCAGGCCCGGTGCAGGGTCTGTTCCCCAGGGACTGCTGTGAGTGCAGGCTTTCGTTCTTGGTAGCCATGTGGCTTTTTCTCCAGGCTGTGCCTTGTTCTTGAGATAAACCTGGTTTCTTTGGCGGTGTGTTTGGTTTGCTGCTTTGTTACTCGTTTTGGAAATGAACCTGGTCTCCCTAACCCAGTTTTGTAAATGGTTTTTCTCACTTGGCTCCTGTTGCAGTTGTTCACTGTCTTTGTTTTTTGTTGATTGTTGGTTTGGACATTACCTGGTCTCCACTCTCTCTGGCTCCCTGACAGGTGTTTCTCGGTTTCTGCTTTGGTCAGTGCCACCATCCTGTCTTGGACCAGACGAAGTCACTTGTCGGTGGGCCTGCGTCAGCGGCCGCCGTCTTTTCTTTTCTTTCTCTTTTCTCTATCTCCTTTTTTCCTTTCTGATTTAATAACTGGCCCTACAAGATAAGCTTCTGGTTACAAAAGTACATAGGAGTTAAAAAAAAAAAAAAAAAAAAAAAGTACATAGGAGCTTATGCAAAGCCAGAGAGAGGAACCTTTCTCTTCCTGTCCCGAGAGAAAAAGTGTGTACTGTTCCTTTAAGAAGTCAGAAGGCAGTTGGCGGACCGGTGGGCAGCGGTGGACAGTGGGGCAGCGGTGGGCACAGTGGGGGCAGCACCCAGGCTTGCTCCTCCCCGAAGGGCCTGCCCACTCACCCAGCTCCAGGGGCGCTGCAAACACAGAGGGAGAGACTTGTCCATTTTGAAGTGCCCGGGGCTTTCGTCTGGGCCCGAGCCCCAGCTGCCTGGCCCAGGAGCCTGCCTGGACTTGGGGCTTCCCTGTGTAAACGCAGGTAAGTTGACGCCCCGGGCTCGATGCCTGACTGGAACAGCTGACACTTACAAGCTTAACTAAAGTAGCTGAGTCTGTAGAGACAGGGCCCCCGTCTCGGCACTGTTCCCTTTCCATCAGAGTGACCGTCACAGGTTTGCCCGCGTGGTTCCGCTCCGGGTAGGCCGTCATCGAGGGACTTGAAGTGCAGGCTGGAGCATCGAGGGCTCAACGCCGCGGCCGAGAGCACTCTGCACAGGGAAGGTCAGTAGCTACTCCCGGGAGTAAAGGACGAGGTAAGGCCAACCAGTGGCTCCCCCTTCTCCCTAGCGAGCTAAGGGGTCCAAAGATGGAGACAGAGGCCCCCGAGGGGCTTTCCTCTGTGCTTAATGATGCCGGGGTCACCAGACAGAGGCGTTTGTCGAGTGTGTCTGTGCCAGGGCCTCCCGAGGGGCGCTCTGTGACACGGGCCTCCTCCTCGTGGCGGGGTGCCACCTGAGCGAGTGCAGACCCCGTTGTCCCCTCTCTCTGTAGGACCTGAGCTGAGACAACTGGCGGCCTTCTGATCTCGCCACCACTCAGAGTCCACCAACCTCACCACGGCTGTGTCCTTGAATGGAAAGGTCTGAGCCTGACAATTTAAAACGAAAACAGCTGATCTGCTGTTGCAACACGGTCTGGATTCAGTGCGAACTGGAGGTGGCAAAGATCGGTACGGGAACTTCAGCCTACAGGACCATCCCCAGGTAGAGCACCTAGGCTTGAGACGTGAAGGGTGGAGTGAAATGCCTCGTGGTCAGGCTTTTGTGGCTCTTTATCAAAGGGAAGGCTACGGAGCCGTGGCACTTAGGGTGGGCCCTGAGGAAGACGAAGAGACCCTGGGTGACTCTGTTCTAAGACCCCCATCTTAGACCTGAGGTCTGGGGGCGGATCTCAGTCTTGCTGGTCCGTTTAGGAGAGACGGCCACACCAGGAGGGCTCCTTGACCTCCCCTTTGTAATGTTCAGACGGGTAGAGAAGGTCCACCCCCTCCAGGTGACCAGGGGCTCCATTAGTGCCCAGTGCTCCAGAGGGCCCCGCGTTCCTCAGCTCCCTCAGTCCTCTGGGAGCACGCAGACAGCTCACGCCCTGCAGGTCTAACCCAAAGTGGGGCTTAGAAGTCCCAGGGGTGGAAGGACACACCTGAGTGCAGGTTCCCTTTTCAGCTGCAGATGTCCAGCAGTGCAAGGAACAGTTAGGGCACCTGTCAGAAGACCTTAGCAAGTCTGCAGATGGGTTTCAGACTTTGACCCTTGCTTTTGATTTATCCTGCTGACCTGTCCAACGCATCTTGGCCGCTTGCTGTACTCCAGATGTAAGTGTCCCAAACTATGCCGATGAGCCGTATGGCTTAAAAAGAGAGGGAAAGCACTCCGGGACAGCTATTCTCCCTTCAGCAGAGCCACACTGCCACTGTAATACTCAGCATGGACTAGAAACGTCGAGTGTGCTAGCTGCTCTTACCAGGGCGGTGAAAAGGTGCATTAAAAAGTCTATTACGATAAAATGAGGGGGTCTTACAAGACGCAGAGGAAAATCCAGCTTTGTCTCATAACTGATGAGCAGAGGCCTTCTGCAAGTATACTAACATAGCCCATCTTCCAGGGAGGAGAGGCACTAACGGGGCAAGATTTCATCCGTCAGCCATCCCCAGATATTCAGTGTAGGCCACAAAAACTTCAGAAGGGGCCACAGACACCTGTAGCCCAACTGCTGGACACGGCCTTTGTGTGCTCAACAGCTGGGACTCGGGACGGACAAAACAAGAAGGCTCAGGTTACAGCTGTTGCAAGTGATAATGCTTAAAACCCTCCCGGGTTGTCTAAGGGAAAGCCCAGGGACAATCGAGGACAGGGTTCCTGTTTCGAGTGTCAAGGACCTGGACACTGGGCAGGAGCCAAGCCTCGGCCCGGGCCCTCCTCCAAATGTGAGGCAGCAAATGAACCTGAGCCTTGGAACTGGAGGTCCCCGTCACAGAGAGGGGCCAGGCCAGCCAGAACCTTCACTTCCTGCTCTGATGACTGAAGAGGCCGAGGCCCGCCCCCCCTCCCCCCCCGCAATGCCCTGGGCCACCGACATCACCAAGGAACCTTAGGTTTGGACATTATGGGTGAGCTGATTCAACTGCTTGTAGATACAGGGGCAGCTCACTCTGTTTTGATTTCCTTCTCTGGAAAACTCTCCTCTAAGTCTAGAGCCACAGTTGGGGTAGAAGGGACCCCTAGTCAGAGATTCTGTACTCCTGCTCTGACCTATCACTTTGAAGGTCAGATGTTTAACCACAAGTATCCAATTGTCCCATAATGTCCTGCTCCCTTGCTAGGAAGAGATTTTTTTTTTAACAAAATTGGGGGCAATTCTCAAATTCCAGCTAAAGTCAAAACAGATTTTACTTGTTGGGACTATACCAAGTCTCCTTGACCAAATTAGCCAACAGGTGGGTCCTGCTGCATGGTATAAGGACATAACTCGTAGGAGAAATTCTGCTATGCCAATAGTTGTAAGACTAAAAACCCCAGCCAATTTCCTAAGTGAAAGTAGTATCCAGTCAAGGAAGAAGCACATGAAGGTCTCCAGCCTCTCTCAGGCAGGTTTCTCAGATACGGCTTCTGGAGCCTTGTCAGTCCCCTCACAATACTCCCGCTCTCCCTGTAGTAAAGCCCTCAGGAGAACATCGGATGGTACAAGACCTCTGCTTCATTAACGAGGCAGTCATTCCAATCCACCCTCGAGATCCAGCTCTAGATCCAGTTCCATATACAATTCCCTCCCAAATTCCAAGGGTTACTGAATGGTTCTCAGTCTTAGATTTAAGAGGAACATTCTTCTCCACTCCCCTACATCCAGACTCTGTTTTTATTTGTCTTTGAATGAAAAAATCCCATTAGAAGCGAAGAGCCGCAATATACCTGGACGGGATGGTTCTCCCACAGGGCTTTAGAGACAGTCCTCACCTTTTTGCTCAGACGCTAGCAGCAGACTTGAGGAGTTTAAAGCTAGAATGGGGAACCATCGTAGTATGTAGATGGTATTCTAGTTTGCTGTCCCACTCAGAAACTATCTAACCACAACACTGTACAGACCTAACTTTCTAGTAAGAAGGGATGTAAAGTCTCCAAAGAAAATGCTCAGAGATCCCTCCAAAAGAGTTCAATATCTGGGACATATTCCTACAGCTGGGAAGTGACAGCTGTTTAGGGACCCCATCCAGGCTCTCTTGATCTTGGGTCTCCTGCCCCCAAACAGCAGCTTCATCCCTGTCTGGGAGTGGCAGGCTTTTGTAGGATCTGGCTATGTGATTTAGGATGAATGGCAAAGCCTTTATATGAGGCAGTAAAAGGCCCGGAGTCTGTGCCCCTAGGAATGGACAAAAGTGACTAACAATGCCTTCAGGGAAATAAAGCATGCCCGCTGGGAATGTCTGCCTTAAAAAGCAAACCTTTCTCTATGTGTCAGAAAAGGGAGGAATTGCTTTGAGGGTCTAGACCTAAAGGCCAGGACTAAAACCCCACTCAGTGGCCCACCTATCAAAGAGCTCAGGTGGGGGGGCAGCTGGATGGCCACCCTGCCTGAGAGCAACAGCAGCTGCAGCTATGCTAACAGAAGACACAACAAAGATAACTGAGACAGGGGCTGGGGATTTAGCTCAGCGGCAAAAGCGCCTGCCTGGCAAGTGCAAGGTCGTGAGTTCGGTTCCCGGTACCGGAGAAAAACCAAAAAAAAAAAAAAAAAAAAAAAAAAAAAAAAAAAAAAAAAAAAAAAGATAACTGAGACAGACTGGAAGTTCTGGTTCCCATCAGGTCAGAGCAATTCTGGAGACAAAAGATTACTTCTGGTTAACAGGGGAACAGTTTACCAAGTATCAGGCTGTACTCTTAGACACCCCAAGGGTTATTACAAAAACTTGCACTACTACTAACCCTGCTTATTTGATGCCCACAGGCCCAAAGATTAGCCACTTTTGTGAGCAACTACTCTCCCAGACTTATGCCAGCAGATAGGCATCAAAACCCCTCCAAAACCCTGAGGAGATGTAGCTCACTGACAGAAGTAGCTTTGTCCAAGAAGGACACCAAAAGCCAGGTGACTCACAAGAGGTCACTGAAGATAAACATCTTCCCCTAGGACCCCCTGCTCAAAGGCAGAGCTCGTAGCTCTTACTCAGGCACTGATATTAGAAAAAGACAGAAAGTTAAACATCTACTGACAAAAAAGCAAGGCTCAAGGGCTGCTACAAAGTAAACAAGATCTTTCTAAGGCAATGGCTCTCAGACTGTAGATGATTTACCTGACAAACCTCTCTCATTACCTTCTTCGCTGCAGGAAGCATGGCAGTCTGACCTGCTCCGCACATCTGTGCTAATAGTGAAGTTTCTTTCTCCTGTCAAACAGGCGCCTCAAGGGGCACTGACTTTTCTGATTTCCGACGGCTTTTCTTCCCTCAACCCAGCCAGTGAGCCACAGCACCCAAGATAGTTGGACAGCACGTGATACCCAGTAGGGAGGGTCTACGGCCCCTTCCCGCTTGAAGAAGCTACAGAAGACAGAGACCTCCACTCCCTCAGCACCCCATAAAGATTTATGGGACTTGGGTCCCTTGGGGAAATGATATAGGACAGAGGACATGGCGAAACTGGCTGGGGAATGACTGAACCTGTCAATCACAGCATCCCAAGGCAGCGCTAGAGAAGTAGGCGGGACCTGTCAATTACAAGTCCTCAGGGTAGCACCAGATAACTCTAGGGACCTGAGTGTAGAACTTCTCTCCAGCTTCCGCGAGATGTGGGCGGCATAAAAGAGACAAGCTGCCACGAGGAGCTTGCTATGATGACTCCTCATCCCATCATATCCAAGTCTACATTTTTAAAGAATGGGTGCTCCTGAATATCAGCAAATCCTGTTTAAAGGTGCCGAACCAATCGTTCCTTTGGGTCCTTGTTGGGAACCCTCTTCAGGTTACTTGCAGTTTTACAGACAAAGGATGCAGTATGTGAATTTTTCTTCAAAATAAGATAACTTGGAAGAGATAACGCCTGAGTTTTGATCGGGGTCATCAAAGCCCTCAACAGCATGAAATGGGGACTTTCCAACCACGATCTCAAACATGAGTACTCTGAGAGCCCCCTAGTGGGCACTGCAGCCGTAATCCCCTCCTCTCAAAACTTCTGGAGCAAGATAATTAGGAGTGCTACAGAAAGTGCTGGTCGTACCTGCTGGCCGTAATCCTTCCTTACACATACAATAGTGAGCTTAATGTGCCCTTCTGAGTCCAGTAACAGCTGTCTAATTTCAAGTTTCTCTAAAGTACCCCTCGCTTGTGATGATAATTGAAAGAGAAACTGATTTGCACAGTACTCTGCAGAAACCTGACATGTTCTTTGGGAATTATACTTTGTTGCTGCGACATTAGAACATGAAACAGTAGATTTCCTCCACTGACATACTGTTGAACTCAGAACGTTCTGCTTTCTGTCCAAAGTCAAGGATGCAAGGACGACTCGGTGCCTGCTCCAAAGCATGCTTCTTTGTGTGTATCTGACGGCTGTCGACAAGCTCACAAGCTCCTTTTTCATAACTTTCATTGCATAAATGCAATGTTTCCTTTGTAACTGAACCAAGAGCACTTACACAGAATTCCTCTCCCTATTATCTGGAGCAAATTGAAGTCCTGAAGACTTAAACTGGACGAAGCTCTGCCTCTTTCCCTGGTGTTCACTGCCTTCTTTTTTTCACAAAGTTGGTCCACACTCTCAGGCCTTGAAGAATTCTATGGATTTACTGTCCGTGCAGGACAGGAGGCAGAGATGACCAGTCCGTCAGCATCATGGACTCCAGTGGCGAAGAATGCTGCTCACACTCAGCTACAATACTTGTGGCACTTTTTATGAGCCAAGAGGTGATAGTTGCTATACTTACGGTTGATAGACACAGACTGTGGTCTGAGTTCCCGTCTGGTCTGTGCAGATGGCTCAATGGGCATGGCCGTGGAAGTGCCCTGCTTGAAAAGTATGGCCATTTGCACAATAAAGCTTCTTCCAGAGGTGTGCACCTCTGCAGCTGATGGATTTACTTCCCCTGGACAAGGTATTCTAGGATGTTCCAGTGCACAAGGGACTGCGTGAGTTAAGAATTGAAAATCCTTGTGTAGCTCATAAAGCATGAAGGCTTCTTCTAACTATGATACAGCACATAGGCCTTCTTCCTCATCTATCCATTTCACAGTGAAAAGCTGTTCATCGTCAAAAGAACACATGTTTTAAACTCCATTGCAAAAGTCCCCCAAGGGGATGGAAGGCTCAAAATGTGTTATAATATGTCTCCCCATTTCCAGGGCCTGTTCGGTGGAGAAGGAGGTAGCAGGGGTGCTCGGAAAGATGGGACTACGGAAGGGCTAACTGTCCAGGAATACTGGCACCAGGGGCTCCCAAGGAGGGGCAGCTGGGCCGCTTGCCCTGACCACACTGGCCAGATTTCCACAAGGCTCGGATAGTGGTGGCTCAGCCGGGGTGGGCGTACGCTGGCTTCTCAGTGTCTCTAGGGGCCTGGTGGCTGGCACTTTGGCCTTTCACCTTGTGCTCTTTAGTGTCTCTGGGTTTTTGGTGGCTGGGTCTGGGAAAACTTGCCTAGAGCTAGTGGGTGTCTCTGGGTGGTGGCCAGGCCTGGTGTGACTTGCCCTGGGCTCCTTTGAGGCATTGTACCCTTGGTAATTTGGCTTAGGGAGACTTTGCATGGGTTCCTTGTTTTTTCTAGGTGATGGGTGGTCTGTCTGGGGAGATCTGCCCTGAGCTGTTCTTGACAGCTGGATGCTCCTGCAGAGTGGCCTGAGGCATCTGGATGAGTCAGTCATCTTCCCAGTGGTTCACAGATGTTCTCCCTGACTGACGTCCTGAGGCTGTGGCCTCGGGAGGTGGGGAAGCACAGAAGCAGCTCAGTAAAATGTTTGCTGTTGACCTTCTCTGGCCAAATGAGTTCAGGAGGGAGCGGCCGTCGCTAGCCTGCGATGCCTGTTAACAAGGGCTCCAGGTTCTCTTTGGACCTACGGCCAAGGACGTGAGGGCATGTCTTGGGGTTCATAACTTGAGTCCCGCATCTGATAAGAAGAGTTTCTGCCCCATTTTTTTCTTCATAAATCAGCAGCTCATTACTTATTTTTATTACTTTTAGCTAAGTATGTATCTTTTTATCATCTGTCATCTATTAGTTTTTTACCTCTGCAGTCCTGGGGCTTGAACCCTGCATCTTCACACTAAACTGCATCCTCAGACTTGTTTTCAGACACGCGCTGGGGGTGTCCCTGTCACTGAATCGGTCAGGTTGGACTCCACTTGTGACCGTCTTGGCTGAGCCCACGGAATGCCGGGGTCACAGCCACACACCGTCTTGTCTGCTCTGGTGCACTGTTCGGAGGCAGCAAAGGAAAGACTGGCAAAGCGCTCTGTGACATTAGGCGCTGGGGATGTTTTCACTTTAAAGCAGCACGTGTGTGCTGACGCCTTGCACGTGGTGGGCGTGGGGCTAGGGGCTTCTGTACAGCAGAGGCATTCTAAGGATGCAGTGTGGGGCTGTGAAACGTTGGGCGCTTTTCTTCCCTGTGTTGATTATATCGTCATTTTCATTTAAATAGGGAGTATTAAGACATTCTAGAAACTTCTGCTACTTCAGAAGTAGAAATGTTGGTTTTCCAACTGTATCCTCTGGGGTGGTGTTGAGATAGGAGGTGAGGCATGGCAAAGCTGCTGGGGGGAAGTTGGACCTTATGTGGGGTCAACCGTGAGATGCCGGGGCAGCACCAAGTGATTCCCACGGCCCCGGATGGAGAACTTCCCGCAGGTTCCCACCACGTGCGGCTGCAAGGAGGAGCCAGGCGCCGCCGCGCGGGGCCTGCCGCGGTGACTCTGCGAGGAGCAGCCCGCGTCTCCCGGCCCGGCCCGCGGTCGTGTTCGCTCTGCTCCTTGTTTCCTCTTTTGTTCAGCCCAGGCTCGCTCTGCAGCGCCAGTCTTCTCCCTCACCCCTGCACCCCTCACTTTTCATGGAAACTTTGGGCCCCGTTTTTGGCTTGTCTCATTCAATTCTTTTTTCAAGGCAAGGAGGCCCTGGAGTGTGTTTAACCGGCAAGCCATTTCTAAAGGAACTCCTGCACAGCAGTGGTGGGGGCTCCCTGGCAGGCCGTAACTTGTAGGTGCACACGAGGGACTGTTCGTTCTTAGTGAACAAACTTCATGCCTAAGTGCAGTCTTCAGAGTGAGGTGGAACAGCATGTGCTGACTGCATGGTGACCGTCCTGCAGACCCGAGAGGCCGCCGCCCCAGTGCTGACGAGGAACACACACACCCGACACTCTGAAACTTCCCTGTGGCCACTTGTAATCACTTTCTGTCCCCTCCCAAGAGCACACGCACTTTGTGTCCAGGTGTCGGTTTGCAGTTCCTGGATGTGAGTAGCTGTGCCGTCAGCCTGCAGCATTTTTGTTTTTTGCAGAGCTTATTCCATTGTTGTAACCGTGCTGGCTTTCGTGTGTGCTATTATGCCACGTGTGGCCAAACCACGAATTGTTCACGTGCCCATCTGCTGATGGAAATTTGTGTTGCTTCTGCAGTCACAGGCTCTGCCCTGGACGGGCGAGAGCATGCCCTGCCGTCACTGCCCGTGACTGTGCGGGGTGTGC